CTCCTGCCTCAGCCTCCCAAGTAGCTGGGACTACAGGTGCGCAATACCATGCCCAGCTAATTTTCATATTTTTAGTAAAGACAGGGTTTCACCATGTTGGCCAGGCTGGTCTCAAACTCCTGACCTCAGATGATCTATCTGCCTTGGCCTCCCAAAGTGCTGGCATTACAGGTGTGAGCCACCACGCTGGGCCAACACCTCTAGTTTTAATGCTCTGATGTGCTTAGCACACAGCCTCACAATCCAAGCTGGCTGCTCAAGCTTCAGACTGCACACCCGTATTCTACACAGTAGGAAATAGGAAGGAGTAAAAAACAGTGCCCATAACCCTTTTTAAAGGACATTTTCAGACAATGTACACAATAGTTTTGGTTGCAGCTCTTTGTTCCAGAACAATTTCTCTTTTTTCTTTTCTTTTGAGATGGAGTTTCACTCTTGTTGCCTAGGTTGGAATGTGATGGCCCCATCTTGGCTCACTGCAACCTCTGCCTCCTGGGTTCAAGCAATTCTCCTGCCTCAGCCTCCTGAGTAGCTGGGATGACACGTATGTGCCACCACGCCCGGCTAATTTTGTATTTTTAGTAGAGACAGGGTTTCCCCATGTTGGTTAGGCTGGTCTCGAACTCCTGACCTCAGGTGATCCACCTACCTTCGCTTCCCAAAGTGCTGGGATTACAGATGTGAGCTGCCGTGCCCAGCCTGTTCCAGGACAATTTCTCACTGCAAGAGAGGCTGTGAATTGCAGTCTAGGCAGCCATGTTCCATCTGAAAATTAAGGAGGGAGAGAATGGATATTGGGGGGGTGCAACAAACCTGTGTACCAATGCAAGATGAGATGAATCTGTAAGAAAAATCTTGCAGTCATGACTGAAGTGACAGTATTGGGATTACCTGGTGGCATAAAGGATACTAGATTTGGAGGTAGGTGGTCTAGGACATGTAAGCAGAGACAGGAGATGTTTTCAAAGAGGAAATGAAAATGGGAACAATCTTAGGATGCCCTGGAAGGTAGGAACGGAAGACAGGTGAGAGTTCTGGGTAACAGCTGTAATTTAGTAAGTGATTAAGACTTTAGATGAGCTGGGTGAGGAGGTTCACGCTGGTAATCCAGGCACTTTAGGAGGCTGAGATGGGAGGATTGCTTGAGTCCAGGACTTCAAGAATAGGTGGGGAAACATGGCAAAACCCTGTCTCTATAAAAAATACAAAAATCAACCAGGCATTCTGTAGTCCCAGCTACTTGGGAGACTGAGGCAGGAGGATCGCTTGAGATTGGGAGGTGGAGGGTGCAGTGAGCTTCGATCACACCACTGCACCTCAGCTTGGGCAACAGAGTGAGACACTGTCTCATTAAAAAAAATAAATAAATA